TTGTTCTGATTTAATACCAGATATTGATGAGTGCAAAGACCCGAACGAGTATCCATGCCATGGCATTTGTCGGAATACCATCGGGAATTACACATGCCAGTGCCCGCCTGGGATGCGTGGTGACGGTAAAGTTGGCTGCCAGCGATTCCGGCTGACCACCATTCCAATAGGTAACCAATCTTATCAAAATACCGCAACATGCCCTGTCCATATGTATGTTGAGAAGTTGGTTGATTTTGTTCCTATAAAATGCATGCAGTGATTGTAGGCGTCATTCTTGTTACAATTATCACCATCTTGGTTTTCATTGTCTGTCAAAGGAGGAAGAAGGAGAAATATTTTAGAGATAATGGAGGTATGATATTGAAGCACCAAAGAATCAGGATTTTTAGCGAGGCAGAATTAGTAAAGGCAACCAACAACTACAACAGGAGCCTATTCCTCGGAGAAGGCGGCTTTGGTTCAGTCTACAAGGGAGTTTTAGCAGACACCATCCTAGTTGCTGTGAAGAAGGCCAAAGATGTGGATAAGGCAAGAATGAATCAGGAATTTCAGCATGAAATCGGCGTTGTTTCTCAGGTTAACCATAGGAATGTTGTGAAACTCTTAGGTCTGTGTTTGGAGACTAAAGTCCCGTTGCTGGTATATGAATTCATTTCAAATGGAACCCTCCACCATCATATTCATGACAGGAGATCACAAATTTTAGGGTCATGGAAGAATCGTCTGAGGATTGCTACCGAGACTGCACTTGCACTTGACTATTTGCATTCTTTAGCAGACCCACCAATCATTCATGGTGATGTGAAGTCGATGAACATACTGTTGGACGATCATTACACAGCCAAAGTATCTGATTTTGGGGCTTCAGTACTCATCTCACCAAACCAAACTGGAATAGGCTCCAAAATACAAGGGACATTTGGGTACTTGGATCCAGAGTACCTAATGACTGGGAATTTAACAACAAAGAGCGACGTTTACAGCTTTGGGGTGGTCTTGGTGGAGCTGTTGACAGGGGAGAAGCCTACTTCACGTTGTAGGGATGGGGAGAAGAGAAACATAATTCAGTATTTCATTTCATCTGTGGAAGATAGTCGGGTTGTCCAAGTTCTTAATTTTGAGCCAGCAGATGATGGTGAAATGGAGGAAGTAGAATCAGTTGCTGAGCTTGTTAAGAGATGCCTAAATGGTAGCGGCCTAAAAAGGCCAACCATGAAGGTAGTCGCCGAGGAGCTTACAAGACTGAAAAAGCTCCGTGACAACTTTTGGGCTCATCAGGGCAGTGAAGAAACTGAGTGCTTGCTAGGAGAATCCTCATCACTTACTAGTTATGAGGTTTCAAATATCAATATGGACCAAATGGATACATATACCGTGCACACAACATTTGACATTGAAAAAGGATCAACTGTGGCATCTAATACTTCCTCCTGCTAGTCTTTCTTATTTATTAAATTTAATTAGTTACATCAATTGCATCAAACATTCTGCGCATATGTGAAGTCTTTCCTTTTCACTTAGTTCTTGCTTCTTGGTTTTCTATGTATTCATATTCGTAGGATAAATCAAGTGGAAGCGTTCTATTAGCAAGATATCTTGCATAGCATTTGGGAAAAAAGAAGCAGTTGACCATGGAATCGGATAGAGAGGCATGTATTTAACAGTTCATATGATTTGCTGGGTCATTCTCGTACCTTTCTTGTTTCTTCCATTTTTACTTGATGTTGATTTTATGTTGTATTATTGGTTATGTGCATCATATTTCTACTTAAAGATGTATGTTGTTTGAAAGAACTAAAGGATTTTCTCAGACCATGGTAGCCCTGAATGCAGCTTGCCTTCAGTTATGTTTGTGGAGTTGTGTTAATAGTTCCGCTTGAGTTAATTAAGCTTGGATTTTAAGATGCTTATTCTCCTGTAAAGGTCGGAAAGAGCACAATACCCTTTCCTCCTTTAACTTATATCTGGCCTTTGGGTTATCTTTAGTGGTCGTGGTTAATTGAACTTGTCCAAGTGGGTCTTGAATTTCATGGGCATGGCCAATCTAGTGTGCTCAGATGGAAGAATTTTCTTTTCTGCAAGAATCTGATGCCATTCATTTTCAGACCTTGTTGCCCTGCCTCTAATTTGATGTCTAGTTTCAATAGTCTCCATGTGTGCCCTTAAAGATGTCTGCCTTAGCCATGAAATGACTAAGTAGATTTCTAAAGGTGATTTCTTAGTTGGTTACATTTGAATACTACTCTTCCTAAGTGACTTACTAATAGTGCTTAGAGGCTGTATGGTGATGCAGTACTTTGCCCTTTTTGTTCCATTTTTGTTCCAGTCTTACCATTCATTTTCAGTCCTTGTTGCCCTGCCTCTTATTTGACACCTAGTTTGGATAGTCTCTGTGTGTGCCCTTAAAGATATCTACTTTGGCCATTAACAGATTGACAATTTCTGAAGGTAACTGCTTTTTGCTGGTTACGTTTGAATACTATTGATGTTATTACTAATATCTTTGTCTTTTTATTTGTTTTTCTTTGGAAATGTAAGTGACTTGCTAATAGTGCTTAGAATCTGTTATGCTGATTCAGTGTTTTAATTGTGCTAGTTAGACAGTATATAATGTTATGCAGCGGGAAATATTTTCAAATCTATCTATAAATGGGCAAAGAAATTGATCTGCACGGAACAAACCAGGAATGATGCCTCAAGATGCTTGTTGGAAACAAAGTTGACAGGTATTTAATTGAAGTAGTGAATTTTTCCCTTTAGTTTGACCTATTTTTTTCCTTTGTTTTGTAGTAAATTTGCTACAATATTTCAGCATTTTTAGTTGTTCACATACAAAAAATTTAGTTGTTGATATACCGATATATGCCTGTTTGATTTGCGAGTCTTCAATTAGTACCATATAATGGGTTTGCATAATCCTGGATAAGGAGCTACTTTGTTTTGCCAGGAAC